GGTTCAACGAAATTAAAGCTCGAACAAAGGTGAAACAGTGGACAGTGGCTATCTCCGACATAGAGGAGAAATAGTGGACAGTGGCACTCTCCGACATACCCGGCGGCGAGAATCGAAGCCGTTGCTGAGTTTAGACTACGTATCGGACAGAGCCGTTGCTGAGTTTAGACTACGTACCGGACACGATTGCATGACAAAACACCTTCACAGATTGGGAGTATACACTCAACTCACATGTACACCTTCACAGATTGGGAGTATACACTCAACCCACATGGACCTTCACAGATTGGGAGTATACACTCAACCCACATGCCCCCTTCACAGATTGGGAGTATACACTCAACCCATATGCCCTTTCACAGACTGGGAGTATACACTCAACCCACATGCCCTCTGCACAGATTCGTACCGGACACGATTGCTTGACAAAACACCTTCACAGATAGCGGACACGATTGCACCGTTGATGAGTTTAGACTACGTACCGAACACGATTGCCTATCAAACATGCCCTCTATGTAACCTACATGAGGAAATGGAGAAGACACACCTTACTCGGTATACACTCAACCCACATGCCCTCTATGTAACCTACATTTGAGAAGACCCACCTGATTCGGTGTCCAGCCCTAAAGACAACGACGGAAACCCAGAGATACTGGGAAGCAAAAAAAAGCCAGAGATACTGGGAAGCAAGACGAAGACAAGGACGGAAAGCCAAAGATAACGGGGAAGCAAGAAGACTGCTAATGAACTGCTATTAATTAACCGCTATAAATGTAATCCAGCTCTAAAGACAAGGACGGAAAGCCAGAGATACTGTTAAGCAAGAAGACTGCTAATGAACTGCTATTAATTAACTGCCGCAAGAAGACAGCTAATGAATTGCTATTAATTAACTGCTACATAGAAAGCCAGAGATACTGGGAAGCAAGACGACGGCTAAATGAACTGCTATTAATTAACTGCTATAAATGTACCCCCCTTCATGAATTGCTATTAATTAACTGCTATAAATGTACCCCCCCCTTCTTGGGGGAAGCTGAAGTCAAAGATTGAGGGCTAATAATAGCTATCATAAAGCCTGCCATTTGAAATAAATAAAGATTTATATCAAATGGCAGGCATTTTGATAGTTATAATTAGCCCTGGAGCTGACTATTGGCTTCACAGAGAGGAGAAGGAACATCGAAGTGGGAAAGCGTGGAGAAGGGGAAGAGAAGAATGATTCACAGATGTAAAAGAGACAGACAGACACAAAGGGAGAGAAAAAGTAAGATGAGTACTGTGGAAGGGGTCAAATATGACCTACAGTTGGGTCATGGTAGTTTGAAGTGAGAAATCAACTGCCGGTTAATAAACTTTTTTGCCGTATGAGTATACGTTGCCCAGGGTGCACCATGTGGAGGTAAGTCTATTGCGCACCCCGTTTAGCTAATAATAATAAGTAAGTTATTGAATGGCTAATAATGACTAATACGTTCTCCACTTGGATCACTTCTGCTTTCATTGGTACTAGTAAATAATGAAATAGCAGTAAAAGTAGTTCCTTCTTAATTATCTGATATTGTTAAATTAAACAATAATCTCTATGATTTCTTAATAACTTCGAGTGAATCTATTGTTACGAAATCTTCTCTTCACTTTTAAATACCACAATAAGTTTGATAAATATTTGATAGAAACTATATTGAATTCGAAAATTTTACCTTTTTCTTTATATATATTTTGCAACAATTCCAAACACTCTTCTTACTGAACTGACTTTGTAAAGATGGCTCTAACGTCTCTCCTCTTCGATGTCAATGCTGAATTACTTAATGATGATAGTTCAGGAAACGAATTCCTGTTAAATACCCTTTCCAATAAATTGGATTTTATTTGCAATCTCTCAGGTGATATTTTGTCCAATGTCGTATGATCCAATTACATACATTTCCTGTTCTCTGACCGCCGACTTTGTGTAGGTGCACTCAATTTTGCTACTTTATGAATATATTCAACGTAGAAGAATGTGCACGATTGAAAGAATTCAGGTGTGGATGGTCCGGCACAATTCATTAATTCCAACAGTACATTGATTGTTAACTAATTCTTTGACATTTGATTCCTATTCTTCGATTTTGTGTGTTAATTCTAATACTACTATTTATGCCCATTTTAGCATGTGGAAATGAAAAATTTCCCCATTTACCAAATTGCGGTTTGTCGTCTGAACCTTTCTAATGAGTCAATGTAATAGAAGTTTAATGTTATGTTGTATAATGAAGAAATCGTTTTTCTTTTCTCGTTTTAGTAACTGCTAAAACTCGTCACTAAACACAAGATTTCATGAACAAGAATTCGATCATTAATCCAGGTGATGAAATATGGAGGTGATGGAAGTTGTTACTTGGAACGAACTTTCTCACTCTAACTTTGATTACCTCGTTCAATTTCTTTACAGCAGTAAAAAATGTTTTTTATTCGCATTGCTGTGATTTGTTATAACAGTAATGCAGAGCGATAATTGGACAAAAGTCGAATTTTTCAATTATGCTACTCAACCTGAAGCCTCTTAACATGTATTTGGTGCTAAAATTTTTGATAATGTTGCTTGCAAAATGACTTTCCACCCAAGTTAATAAGGTCTTTTGCCTAATTCTCATTGTTGCTTTGCAATCGTAAAATCTGTTCCCGAGGATTTATATCAACTTGAAAACACCTATCTGGATAAACTTTGCAGCAAATTTAATTTACCATTACTTCCAAATCTATTAAAAAACAATTTTACGCACTATTGGCCCGCATTATTTATTTGATAAATAAATTATATTCAGAAATGGATTTACTCTTTCAACTCATAAGTTATGCGCTCATGTGCCAGAAGTTGGAACTGATAAAACCGTTATACAAAACTCTTCCATAAATAATATACGAGGTAATTTCGATAACTTATGAACAACCAATAAATGATAATTTATGTTTAAGTTATCAGCGACCGATTTGTACTTGACCTTTAGGAAGATTTAAATATCCTTGGTATACATATATCTTGACCAATGCTTTCATTCTATACTGCGTTGGGGCGGTAGATGACAAAATTATATATATGAATGAGTTTTAAAACAAGTCCGTAGAATTGTATTCACTGTTTCTTGATTGATTTCTTTTTTAATTAAATAGGTTTCAATCGTTTTTATTTGAGTTGGTGGCGGCTGGTAAATATACAGGTAATTGAATCCTATAGTTGAATGTCAATATATTATAATGAAACTTTCCATTTGAATTTCTCAGCAAAGGAAGATAGGATAATTAGCGGTATTTTTAACACAGTTTGCATAATAGAAATAATAATTCCACTCTCGATATACATTTGAAACGTTGTCACTTTTATTAAATTGGCCATTGCGATCGAATGCTCGCATTAATAATTAATTTCAAATCCGCATTTTTTTGATAAATTACGAAACCCAAGAAACAAACTTTAGATTGAAATAAAGTTAATGGTTAATCACTTCTCAGTAAATATACCATAAGAGCGTAAATAAATTTTATATAGTAGCATTTCTAATTAACTTTTATCATTATTCATAATCAATGAGCTCCTAACTACTAAGCTTACTACTTTTTAGAAAATGTACATTTAAGTTTGTACTACAGGCAAAGAATCGATGTCTTGAATGTGTAAGTGTGAAGGTAAAATATTGGATAGTTGAAAGGTAATTGTTAAGATTTTCAGAATTATCATAATTTCAAATCAATTTTTTTCCAGTTCTTATTTAGAATCTATCTTAATTTACTTTGGTAAATGTGTTTAATCTTCTACGTATTTCTAGGGTACAAGAATATCAGTTCCATGTTTCACAGAAGGTCTATGAGTTATAACTTTAAATAGATTTTTGATAGAATTATACCATAGGCCCAAAGAAATAGGAAATTCACGCTTTCGCATCGGAGATAGATTAATGTTATTGATGTGACTACAAGTTAATAATCACAGAGAGGCAAAAGTGCATGATTTTAAAATTTAATAACGTTTATTGCTACTACGTATATAATGGTACAGCTTGGATCACACTAGCGTATGACGAAAAGCATTGAATTTCTAAAATATTAGCAAAAATTAAACTCTTTTGATACTTAACGGATCAAATATAAGCTAATTTGTTAATGATAGGGCTATATTTCCAAAGTTATTCATATTCTTAGCAATTGCCATCAATTCTCAATTAATTATAATTAGTTGCTTTGATTCCCAAAAGAGCTGTATTTAATTTGGTGAAATCTTACCAAAATTATAATCTAATAAAAAACTTAAAAATTCATTTATGTGAACACAAGTGTTATCTATATTAATGTTTTTACAAATGAGATTTATTCCGGAATACTTTTGGTCATCAAGATGATTGATCTGCCTAAGACTTGATAGAGCACCTCTACGTCCTTGAATCGAATATATGATAATATATACGCTTCAACTAATTAAAAAATTCAAAAAACATGTTAATATGGTTAATACATAAATGAACTTTACGGATAACAGCACTACAAAACAAAATATTATTTATAAACAAAAATATTGTGATATTATATAGTTGTTTAAGTATGCTAACCGTGTGAACTGAATTGATTTCAGCTTGTCACCAATAAAAATATCACAGGTTGTAGTCACGCGTCATCGGTTGTATTCTGCCCCACACCTGGAAACGTATGTTCTAAAACTTAAGCTAAAATTAACGTTTTATTAGCAATTGGAACGAGTAATTATTAGTCTATTTAAAACTACATTCTAGACTGCTATTTGTAATCGTATTATTCGTTGCCTGTTTATTTTTACATGGCCATGTGTTTACCACGTTGTATTCTGATCTTTCATTGAGTGATGTTTAAATATTGTTTGTTTGATCAAAATTTGATATTAATTTTGCCTTAGTTGTGGTATTTTAATTTAGGCTGTGTGCCCCTGTGTTTTTTTCGAAAGTGCTTCACAAGGAATCAGAAATGTCACACTACGCCTCCGCATCAAAGTCCTCCGAAGGTGACTTCGGAGGTGATGATGATGACATGGAGGATGATGATGGATATGATTTAAGTGATTATGAAGGTGATATGGACGGTGGCATTACTGACCCCAGTGAAGCACCAACCACAAGTGCTGATCGGCGTAGTGAGAACTACTCTTCCCGATGCTCACTTCATCATGCCGATAAGCCCAGCACTAGCCGACACAGAACCGAGTTTCGCCGTTTCCGAAATGCCAGTGAACGCTTAACCGAGCACACTGATGACAATCGGTGGGTTATTCAGTGTATTCAATTTTGTCTTTGTTTTATTTCCTCACTCCGATCTTACTCTTAACGTTCGCAGTGTGTTCTCCTGTAGACGAGATCATCACAATCACCTTGAACGCAAGAGAAGAGCCAGTATTAAAGGGAGTTATTGTGACCTCCGAGAAGCTATCCCTAGTTTACGTGGTTCTAAAGCTTCAAGGGCTGTTACTCTCCAACGCGCAGCAGAGTATATTGAATCTCTCAAGAAGTCGAACCATGAACACTCGATTTGTGTGGACGAATTAAATAGACAGAATGAGCTTCTTGAACGCCAGGTATCTCTTTGGATTATGTGCTCAAAATTGGGCCCAAATAGTTGTATTATCTGTTTCTTTCCCCGTTCAAGGTTCAAGATTTATATCGCAACTACCAACGCCTAGAGAATGATGAGTACGCTTTAACACAAGCGGTAGCTGCGGCTGGGGGTTCGAGCAATGGTCAATCGAGTCCGTTTAGTGCTCCTGCACCACCAACATCGTTGCCTGTGGTTACTTCTGGAACCTCTTCCACAGGAAATTCAACACCAACAGCAGCGCCTCTTGCATTAAACGGAAGTAGCAGTGGAGGGAGCAATAGTCTTTCTTCTGGTTTTACGGCCCCTGTTCGTGTGGTTTCTCAGCACAACCAGGCATCGAATAATAGCAATACGTCTTCACCTGATGATCCGGTAGTTATATATAATATTTTTCACTTTATTTTGTGATCTAGTGGTGAGTTTGTATGTGGAATGTGTCATGATTTCAATATCCTTGCAAGTTACTTGTGAAACCTGGTCATAACTTTTGTCTCTAGGATGATAAAGGTTTACATTGAATTATTCTCTCTTGATTGATAGATAATTGTGAATCGCCCTTGTGGCCTATTTTTGCTTTGCACTTGTGTTTATTGTTTTAGAGCAAAATCGAAGGTGTTGTAATTATTTTAATGTGTAGCGACTTATTAATTGCCTTTGTTCGTCTTATTTAATCCTAAATGGCTGACATCCAGTGATGAATAATGCGTCCATTGGTCGTTAGGAAAGCCTTTAAATTCATAAATCGTAAGATCATTTGTAGTTGTTAAGTACGACCAAATGTATTGCTTAATACCGACCAGAATAATCTGTGGCATATAATTTCAAAATGACCTTTTGAGTACCTTCTATTAGACAAAGTAATTTTACTTATGCGAATATACAGTGACGGCGTATCGCTTAATTATTGCTGATGAAATTATCTTTCGATTATCTCTCGGCCGGAATTTTCTCATCCAAACATTTTTTCCCTTTCATTTTCTTTTAGAAACATTAAGCTGTTTCCGGTTTTATTATGTCGAGTAAAGTAGTGGGTTAAAGGTTGAGGTAAAAATTTTAAAATTGAAACATCCTAACAGGTTGAGGAGTGAGTGTGGAAGAGAGAGAGAGATAGAGGGCGCGCGCGCTTTATTTTACCTTAATCCAGGACATGTTCATTAAATTTCCATTTTTAGCCGCCCATCCCATCTTCAGGCCTGGCTCAGTTAAGCTACGCAGCAATGCAATTACAGCAGCAGCAGTCTACGAGCTCTCCCACTACTTCTACGAAATCCTCAGTAGTTACGAAAACGACGACGACGACCTCACAGGTGCCGCGACTTATCACGCTTGAAACACCTAGTACTACCGGTGGTGCACGCAGTGGAGTTATTCCCCAGCGTATCCGTCTTTCAAACTCCCTCTCCACAACTAGTGGTGGCAGACCAATTGTTGTGGTGCCCAGTGCGACCACAGGCACCTCTGCAACTCTCTCTGCTCTCGATACAGCTGTGATCAAAGCCAGAAATGCTCCTAGACCTACTGGACAGGATAATCAGCAGCAGGTAATTGTCGGTAGTAATGTGGAGGTGGTTAGCTCCAACAATACTACGACAACACATACTGGGACAAATCAACCGCGGCGTGTTGTGATTGTCTCTGCACAGCATCATCAAGAGTTTCCTGCCATTGCCACGTCTAAATCGTCTCCTTCTAATTAGCCACAACTCGTGTAATATCGTCTGTCTATTTGCGTTTGTCTGTGAGCTTGTGTTGTTTCTTCTCTTCCGCCTGCTTTTTTCTCTCGATCTCATCCAGCTGCTGTAGGAAACGT